TTCTTGGTAGAATCACACGTAGAGCAAGTAAGATTGCTTCAACAAATTTTTGTGATATTAAATATAAATATGAAATTGCTGTTTTAAATATGGTCACACGTATTCGATCCCAACCTTCCCATCCCCTTTTTCAAGAATATCAATTCCTTCCCTCATCACTTTGCCTTCGATCACATTACACCCGAACCAGCCGATTCAGTAAATCATTTATTCCTACTTCAGTTAAATTTTTTAATAATCAGGTGTCTAGGTAACTGTTAAATTCTTCTATTTTTGATATTCGATTTATTGTATATAGACTTTTTAATGTAATTTTTTGTAATAACAATATTTATCTTTCTAATTAATTCTTTTTGATATTCTGAATTTTAAATTTTCCCTTTTGTACATTGTATATTGAATTTGATATTTATCTATTTTGCATGTTTTTTGATATTACTCGAGCGTCATGACATTGCGAAGTGCCTGCTCTTGTTCGTATATCAAACTCGAGTCGAATCAATCCGAGACGACCCGAATGGAGTTTCATGCAAATGTTTCGTACGGGAAAAAAAATCGCGCACCGGGTAATAAAAAGAACATACAACCGTTAGTGGGCGTCCTACACAGGCATGACGCAAGACGTTTTTACGAACGGGACTTTGTTCTCTTGTTCTATTTATACTCTTTGATCATAATCAATATTAAAAGGGGATTCCCGGATTTTCATTTTTCATACTCTTTGATCGAAGCAATCGAAGATACTAGAAAACACAAGATAGAGTTCTCTGCAGACAAGAGGATTAATTGAAAGTATTTTATGAGTAGTAGAAGGCCCTACCTCGGTGAGATGAATTTATGTTGTGCCATAAAAATGTAATTTTTCTAGGCCTATAAAATCATTTCTTTGATTTGAAGTTCCGTGACTGGCTAGGCTAGGCTTAGACTACCTAAAAGCCTTGAGAGGTGTAGACTGTGATGTGTGTGCCTTCTGTTTCTGTGGTCTAGGCTAGATACAATAGGCCGGCCGGCCTAGGCTATAGTAAGGTGGGTTCACATCGAGCTATGGCGAGTCTACCGCAATCAGGGTAGACTCAAAAACTATATCCACTTTAAACAAAATTTAATTGAACACCTTAAAAACTAATCATCTTGATGTGTTATTTAAAAAAAAACATGAATAATTCATGTTTTTTTGTGTTGTTGGTCTGTATTTTAGGGGGAGGCTAATTATTAGCCACTAGTCAATCGACTATGTGGCTATCTTGCCTCCCCAGGTTTTGTACCGAATTTTCATATATAAATTAAAATATCATGTGGCTCATCACATGACATGATCTGGCTAAAATTTTCCATATGAACGCTTAATTATAATTATGTCTAGGCCTAATTGAAGGCAATATAACTGGACTACAGTTATCTAGATGTATTATATCGACCAGGGAATGACATGTTCCCTGTGTCGACTAACTTCTTAACCAGTGACAGTGACTGAGCAGGAAGTAGCTCAGCGGGAGAACAAAATCCATGGATAGACCATTCAAACTCCTGCTTGGTTATATGATGGTCACTGTGGAATGCTTATTTTATCATTCTATTTATCTGGCTCTATCAGACCAAATGTAAAAATATTGATTTTAATTACCGATAAATTAGCTTTCCACATGAATGAGTGTGATGATCAAAGACAAGAAAGATTTGTGAACATAGCACTAAAGAAATGAAAGGCCTTGTGAAGCGCATAATAATCAATTGGCTTTAATTTTGACTGGCTCATGTCGTTGACTACGATTTTGTGTTGAGTGTTATTTTCATTTGACTGGTTTGTAAAATAGATTTCGTTGACAACGAAAATTAACGTAAACCAGAGTGCATTATCAGTGTTAAGTTTATCCACATGACCAAAACAAACATGGCTGATTGGTCAGTTTAGCATTTGTTGACTTTGGCAGACAAAATCTGTCCGCTGGACCTTTTTTGACTTGGACCAATTTTAGCATGACAGGCTAACATAATTCAAAAACTGCATGAAAAATTTTTACGAAAAACCCATGCTGCCACAAGCTGAAGCAACCTTGATTACGCAGCGTGTATTGCGGTAGCTTTTGTTTTGTCGCGTTATAAATACCAGTTTTCTATTTTGTCTATTTGGTTGTCTTCGTTAAGTAGGATTTTACCACTGCGGAGGTGGGGTGGATTATTAAAGAACGACCAGTCGAATATGGACATTGTCAATGAACGACAGCCAAAAATATCCAAATGATTGACAGATGGTTTAGGCCTAGGCAATGTGACCACTGCTTGGGATTTTTTTTTTTTTTTTTTTTTTTTGCAACACATTGGATCTTCTGATTTTTTGTTAACTTTTCATTATAATGAGATTTTTGGAATGATATGGAATTTTTAAATTTTCTCTATCAAAAAGTGAACAGATAGGCTGCTAATGGCCTTATTATGATGCCATTGACAGTGGTGAATAAGGGTTGTTTATTTGTTCAAAATGACCCATTGGAAATTTAGTTTTTTTTCAATTCTTCTGATAAATTTTAAAGCCTGTTTTCCACTAGGCAAATTTATTTATGCGAATCAAACATACGTACGTTATTTTTATGTTATCATCTAGGCGTTCCCCAAATTACCAGCTGTTAAGTCTGTGGTTCTACAATGTGTAACAAAGAAGTAATAAATGCTAGAATGTTACCCCGATTTTGATAATAATAGTTGTCTGTAGTGCTCTCAGCAACACCCTGTGGGATGAGTATGTGACTCTTGCAGTGCATACATTAAAAAGCCATTTTTATCATTTTCAGAAAATAATAAGGTGCATTTTTAACCGTGTATCCTGCTTGCTTCAGTACGTAGGGTTGAATTTTAGCAAGAATATTGTACCTACAGAAGATGCCAAATCTTGCACTGTCTCATACTTTGCAAATGCTTTTCATTGTGTTTTAATTTTACAATTAGAAGTTCAATAAAATTCATCAAAAATACTTTACACTTACCAGCTTCCTGAAAAAGGAAGTTACAAAAATCAATGTGCTATGCTACTGGAATATTTTCTGTGTAATACAAATACAATAAGATCAAGACAATTGCCCTGTCATTTTTTTTATTTGTGATTTTAATTCATATAAGATATTAAAATAAACTCAAGTTCAAATTCACATTAATGAGATCTGCAACAAGATATTAAAAGTATCAATTAAAAGCAATAATAAAAAGATGATTTTTTAAAAGATTTTTAAAACCATCAGCACAATAGCTTGCTTTCCTGATTTCCATCAGTAGAGCATTCCAGAATTTAGGTTATAGTTTTTCTTGATACTTTATCATTTTCAGTATCTTAGTTTGCCATCCTCCACATGTCTTCTGAGTTACAAATCACTTGCCAATTTTGTTGATATTGGACAAGTAACATTCTGATTGACATAATTTATTATTTCATTGAATATTGACATAATACTGTTCTTTTATTATCCTACAGGAAATCGTTCTCCTTGGTTGTTGTTGATAAGTGTTTCTTGAGATAATCAACCTACTTGTGTGATATGTAACCAGCTCTAAAAAGAACAGTTCATCTTCCATATATTTTTTATTAAAGAACAATTTCAAGAACTGATAAATCCATGGTTTTTGCTGATAAGTATTTGTTCAGGAAATCAACAAAATTTGTGTTACATGTACATGTAACTTTTGTTTTCTTTTGTTGTGAAGAAAACAGCTCATTTTCCATATTTGGAATTCTGCAACTGATTACCCTGTGGGTGTTTTCAGATAGGGCAGATTCAATACTGAAAACCACCAGTGAGAGGAATCCTTATGCAATTGCAAAGCGTTTTGTATCATTGCTAACTGAGTGGACTCACCAAGGGTTTTAACTGATTACATTTTTTTTTAAATTCTACCAAAAAAAAAAAAGTGTACAGATTGATCAAACATTATGGCAGCAAAACCAATTCATACAAATGCATCAAGAGTACGTGAATTACTTAGTTATGTAAAGTCATTGGATGAATACTCACCACATGACATAAAAGATGGTGTTAGTGTTGATTTTTGTGAATCACAGACAATTGAAGGCACCACTGATAGTGTTGATGAAGTTGATTCCAGCCTTGCGTCATTGCATAGCACTGATGCAGTAGCAGCTACTTCAATGGCAACAGCTAATTGTTATTCAGATACATATCCCAATGGACGAAAAATCATAAAAGATGCCCATGGTACTAAATACGATATGTCATCTGAAGTTGATCGTCTGGCAACGTTTAAAAAATGGCCAAATGAATCGCCTATGAATCCAACTACACTCGCAAAAGCTGGATTTTTCTATGTTGGTTCTGATGACATGGTAAAATGCTTTTCCTGTAATGGTAAAATTAAAGACTGGGAATTTGGTGATTCAGCAATTGGAGAGCATAAAAGATTCTTTCCAAAGTGCAAGTTTGTTCAGGGAAGAGACCAGCAGAACCAGCCCTTACTGCTGAACCTTGTATCCTCAAAGGAAGTGAAGTCTACAGCAGAAGGAAAGTCATCAAAAAAGGATGAGATGTACAACCCAAAAAAAGATACATTGGTAATTGATAAAAGTAAAATTCCTGATAAATTGAAAAGTGAATACAGACGTCTGCTGACATTTCAAGACTGGCCACGTTCCAACCCTATGCAGCCTCGCGCATTGGCCAAAGCTGGTTTCTACTACACTCAGACAAGAGATGTAGTAAAATGTTTTGCTTGCAATGGAGAAATATCAAATTGGAAAGTTATTGATGTTCCTATGACACAACACACAATGCTGTTTCCAGAGTGTCCTTTTGTTCAGGGTGAGGATGTTGGCAATGAGAAACTGACCACAACAGATGTTATGAATGCCCAACATGCAGTGGTTTATCGGGAGCCCTCAACCAAACTTCCACCAGTCCAAAAAATTGAGTCAAAGAATAAAAGCCAGATATCACAGACGGCTAAAGTGACCGATCAGTGGTCATCCATTCCAAGTCATAGTTCACGAAGGCCCCTGACTAGAGCACAGCACCCTCAGTTTGGGAATGAAGCAGAAAGACTGAAAACTTTCAGATATTGGCCAAGCAGTGCACCTGAAGCAGCTCCTCTGGCAACAGCAGGATTCTTTCACACAGGTGAGTATTTGGTCTTTCGTTCATTTTTAATTATGTTATTGATGTTTGATGTAGTGAAAAACCACATTTTGTAATCAATTTAACATTGATTAAAAGCTGCTGAAAACTGATACACTCATCTGTCACCTCTTATGGCGAATGTGTTACCTTACAGGCTTTCACAGAAATAAATGCACAGGATTCAATTAATTATGATTGTGGCTGCTTGTGTAATCACAGCACTGAGAGAATTATACTGGTTTCTTTTAACCCAAAACAAATAAATATAATAAGAAGATAAAATAAAAACTTTAAATTTTTGTAATAAATTCTAATAAAATATTAGTTCTACCTAGAGTGTCTGTAGATTATTTCTACTCTACTACAGTAAAGTAATTTGAACAATAGCTAAATCAAACTGCTGTTTGGTTTTTTTTATTTGTATAGGAGAAAATGACAATGTAAAATGTTTTTACTGCAATGGTGGACTAAGAAATTGGGAGCCTTGTGATGATCCTTGGACAGAACATGCCAAGTGGTTTCCAAAATGTGATTGGTTGATTCAGCAACGTGGAGAACCTTTCGTTCAATATGTCATCGCCAATTTTCCTGTACAAAATCAGAACCTGCCTTTACAGCCACCTGCACCACCTGTAAGATATAGGATGTATACAGATGTATACAAAAAAAAAGAAAAAAAAAAGCACAAATAGATTTACAGTATTGTACAGTACTCTACCTAATTTTAGTATTGTTAAATTTAAATGATTGGAATATAATTTAAATTAAATGAGAAAATCTAAGGTAATAAATATTGTACCAATATATTTTTGAATCTTAATTGCAATTGTATTTTTAAAAATATTTTATTCTTTCAAACTGCTAATGCCTGTAACCATTTGGTACGGTTGGTCAGATTTCAACCTCATGACTTTTTCTCTATACAATGCAGTGCTCGCATCACTCCCAACATGAATACTTCAGTTTTCGTGGCTACGACCCTGCTGCAAAAAGGAAAATTGATATTAAAGATAATAAAATAAACAAAAACTTTAAAAATCTTGTTTATTGATCAGTTTAATTATATTTGTGCATTTCTTACAGTTAGACCATTTTTTTTTTTTGTTATTCATCTTTACTTTGGTATATAGATACCAAGCCCAGGATTTGATACTGTTCAAGGTACAGCTCGGCCATCTGTTAATCTCAATGCACAACCACCACTAACAACTACCAACCAAACAGGTAAACTTGTTTTGAAGATTGTTTTTGTCCACCCACATATTTGATACACCCTAGATTGGCTGGTATTATTCATTTTAAGGATAAACATAGTGAAAGACTGTAAATCAACATAAACTGAATTGTTTTTTATGTGTTGCATGGGTAGTATAAATGGGTAGTTAATAAATTACAATAATTTTAAATGAGGATACAATTTTTATATAACATTTTATAGCTTTGTAGATTTTATGGCCAAAAGCATTTTCTGGTATATAAATTTAAATTTACTGATAAAGATGGATGCAAAATTAAAAGCTTTTGGTAAATAAAAGTGTAAAATGCTGTTCATCTGTCAATAGTTTATTTAGACAACTTTATGTACCTTTATCGGTATACTTATTCTAATCTTAGTATTATTGAATTTTGAAGTACAGTAGTATACATTAGTAAAAATAAGAATTAAATTGTTTATTTTTATTCCTTTTAGCCATCAAAAAAAGAATGGAATCTCGAATTGTAAATTTCGTTATTGAAATGGGTTTTCCTCGGCGGAAAATAAAGAGAATTATCGAGGGACAAGTAAGCAGAAATGAAGATGAATTCAATACCATTCAGAGTCTTGTTGATGCATTACTTGCTGAGCCAGACGAACCTGGAGATTATGAGGAAGAACCACTTGAAAATGCTACTAGTAGCACAGACCCTAAAAGTAAAATGGCCGATGATGATGAAGCAAAAGCAGCAGCTAAAACTAAGATAATTGAATCATCAAATACTGTGACCGAAAAAATGGCGGCATTGAATGTAGGTGGCTCTACACCGCAACCTAAATCATCAGCGTCTTCAACATTAGAAGAAGGTATGTTAATTCATTTCAAATTTTTTGGTAGTTCGGTATTTTTCTTTGGTATTTATATTCTTCTATAGATAATAATTGATGGAGGGGGAGGGGGGCTACATAAACTCATCAGAATACGTACGTTGTAATAATTATGGTTCTCATAAAACATAATGTAAAAAATAGTGTTAATAAAAGTAAATAGATTAATGAATACGTAAAAGTAGTGTATTAATGAATGTATAATAATAAGCTATTTATGTAAATTGAAGTGTTTTTTTAAGTCTCTGGCAATGGCTATGTACTTGTAGAGCACATACAGTTTACTTTGCCTCTGTGTCTTATGTACTTAGGCCTTAAGTTGCCACCAGCATCAGGTTTTCTGAAAACTGGCATGATACGGTGATGTTCTTTAGCCAGCCAGCAAAATTGAACATTAGCACGTCATAATAATAATAATAATAATAATAATGTTATATTTATATATCGCATAATGCCGGAGCTTCTATGCGCTTCACATAAACAGAAAAAATAGAAAAAAAAACCCCCAAAAACTAAAACACGAAATAACCTAAAACTAACCAAGACCGCCAAGAAAGTGAAAAACGGCAATTTAAGGTGCAAGACCGGCCAGTACATTATTCACAGCATGCCATAATGGTGTGGTTATCTTGCTGCCTATGACAAAAACTAAAAAAAAAAACAAAAAAACATCAGGTTAAAAATTAGAGTGCACCAAAAAGGTGCGTCTTCAAAGCACACTTAAAGGAAGAAACTGTTGCAGAGGATCTAATATCGCAAGGTAGCGTGTTCCAAAGTTGTGCCGAAGCAACAGAGAACCTTTTATCACCATATGTAGATGTTGATGTTCTCAGAGTTTGCAGTCTGAATTGAGATGATGACCTAAGACTGCGAACTGAGTGGTGAGGGTTGACCAGTTGTGTAATGTCATGTAGGACTATACTAATTTGTAGTCAGAATATATGAAACTCTCATATTAGACATGACATTGTTGGAAAGAAAATGGTTGACTGACAAGACATTATGCTGTTTTTATGTTCTACCATGAAGGCAAGACCAGTACAATATGCACTTTTGTGGAATATCAAAAAATATATAACAACATTTGAAGTAGTAAATAATTAAAGTTACGCTATAGGCTACCTTCTCATATTTTATTGGAAGCATGTTTAAAGGTTTTTACTCAATTCATTTCATTTTTTTTTTTTATACTGTAGTCATTTTGGTTAATTAACAATACACTTATATTATAATGAAAACAAATAATCATTGAATAATGTAATATTATCTTTTTCATGATTAGGTAGAATGATAATAAGGTGCCTGTTTCTACTAATTTAGGCATGAGAAAGCAATTTAAATAATTATTGTTTAAATCCAATTATGATAAAAACAAAATATCAAATGTTCATTGCAACACTAACCTAATTGCTGCAAAGCAGCCAATTCGTATTCTTGACAACAATTTGACCTCTGAAAGGTCATTGTTTGTCAAAAAACAAGGGCCTAAGACGACTGAAAAGCGGAGTTTCCTTCTTTCGTTCTGCCGGGTAAAATCAATTACTTTAGGAGACATTTGTATACTAACGTACACGTACCAATGTCTGCATGTCGCGCTAGCCTTATCCTACTCTAGGCCTAGACTAGCTAGGATGGTATAAGCCTTGAAGGGACGAAGGTCCCAATGAAAAACAACGTCGCTCCTTGATAGCTAACATTGTCTATTTAACATCACAATAATTCATTATTAGACCTATAGTTGTTTTTTGAATTGTACTCCACAAATCTCAGCCGATACCTCGCACAACTCGTTAACGTCTCGTATCTATTGCCGTGACGTCATGGCTCGCTGGCTCACACTTGTGATGTCTCGCACTTGTGGTCAAATAACACGCTGGCTCGCACTTTGGCAACACTATTTGGCAGTCAACTCTCCCCTAGAAAACCCGCCCTTGGAAACTTGCCCCATAAAAAAATGTACACTTCCTAGACCATGCAGTCTTCAAAATAAAAATTGTAACCTTTGGTAATCAACTACATTTTCCACATATATAGAAATTTTTGAAAATTTATTTTAAAAAAACCTAAACCATAATTCACCACTATAGACACTTTTTGACAAAAATGAAAAATTACGACTTTGTTACCCAATGAGAAGTGTTCTAATATAGACAATGGGTCGTGTCTCATATTATTTGTTATATTCTTATTCATTATTTTCACTTGACTCGCATAAATAATTTTGTTCGAAGAACATTTATATGCAGTTGTACTTTGCAGCACTTCACTTGCAATTTGCAATTTCTAGTATAATATTGTTATTTCCTAATATTACATTTTATACATATATTGTGTATTTTTAATAGAAGCATCACTTCCTACTTCAATCCAAGATGAGCTGAGAGAACTTCGTGACAAGAGGACTTGCAAGATCTGTATGGACAACGAAATCAATGTATTGTTTACCCCATGTGGGCATTTGGTGGCTTGTGAACAGTGTGCACGCTCAATACAAATATGTCCTATTTGCAGAATACCTATAAAAACTTGCATCAAAACATACCTGTCTTGAGAATAATAATAAAGGCATCAGTGTCATTCCAGCTAAATCAGCCAGATTTTCCCCTGTGAACCTCCCCACTCCCCAATGGATTTTTATTTTTAAATTTCTAAAAATAAAACTTGGTATAAGAAAGTATAATACATACTCCAAGTATTGAAATACACACCATCATACTTGGAGTTTGTATTATACTTTCTTATCTGAGATTAATCAGTGGACCTTTCAGTTTTTGGAAATCTTGGTATGTCGAAAGAAAGAATAAAAAATTTCTTCTTCAATTTGTAAGTGGTTTTTAAGTTATGATCTTTTGAAATTTTGGTACCTTGACTTTTTTTTCATTCCTGTAATGGCACTTATAACTTTGTGCAGCTTTTAAGAAGCTCTATTTTCTGGAATAGCAAAGATAAAAGGTTGAACTTATTACATAAACTGATATTTGGCCCCTCTTTTTGAGGAAATATCATTCAAAATTTGGTAGTATATTTTATTAAAATGTTATGCCACCAAATATCCCTCGAAGCATTGTGTGAAAATAGATTTTCACTTTTTCAGAGGGCTGTATCTTATCAGTCTGTTATGTAAGGAAGCTAAAATTAAACATGTGATGAATATGCTCATACTACTATAACTTAGATTGCAAGGTAATTAGATCAATGGTGAAGGTATGATGGTGTATTAAAAATACCCCTTATTTCAACCAACCAGGTATTTAATATTAATTATGAAATTTATACCAGTTACAGATACACATTATCATTCGAAGTAGAAAGTTTAACCTTTGTTTCTCAACTCTTTACAGTGATGCAATGCAATGAGATTTTAAGATAAATATATCGGTAAATCATTTAAAAATAAATTGTAAAAAATAATAGAAATAAATACTCAGTAAAATAATAATATTATGCTTAATAATTTAAAGATGTATTGTCCCTTGCTAAATACCAAAAAAATCATAAAAATATTTTTTGAAATTAACTTGCCCATTTTGAAGTAACATAAAAATTATCAACTTGAACATAGAAATTAGTGTATTTAAAAAATGTCTACCCATCAGTTTACAGCGAAAAATGATAGAAACACTTCCAGTCACTGGAAGTGTTTTATTATCTTTATTAAAATTTTTTGGTTTAAAAATCAGGGTACACATTTTTTAAATTCAATCATTTTATGCACAAGTTAATAATTTGTATGCTATTGCAATATGAGCAAGTTTATTTCAAAATTATTTTTTATGATTTTTTGACGTTAGGAAGGGAAAATATATCTTTAATAGTGATAAAATATTTCAATAATAATTGCAATAATGAATAATTCTGACTATTGTTAATTATTTTTTTTTAAATTATTAAATTGTAAATAAAAATTGTTATACTTATACCTGAATAAATAAATACAAATTAGGTGTGAACCGATTTCTTTTTAAAATACACTTTTTTGTATCACTTCTTTTTTATAAGATTTTCATGTATCCTGGAAATCAGGTCAAAGTTCAAATCATTTGTGATTTCCTAATAAAAGTATTAAAAACACTAATTTACAAAAGATAATAACAATTTAACATGTTGCCAGTATCAAGTATACTTGTCCCACAGGGGGTATTGCTGAGGGCGCTAGGGATGACTAGACTCGTCAAAACTGGCTTATCATTCTAGCATTTATTACTTCATTATTCTACATTGTAGAACCACAGACTTAACAGCTGATAGTTCGGGGAAGATACACCTAGACGATAACATACAAATAACGTATGTATGTTTGTTGTGTTAAATTGCCGGCAGTACACTCGATTGCACGAGTGGGGGGAGGGGCCCTTCTGAAAATATATCAACCCATCCAAAAAGCAGACAAGGAAACTCGCACTTGGCAGAGGTAATAAAACGTACTGTTCCCTTGACGACGACAAGTTTACTCGTCCCCTAATATTGTTCTGCCAATTTATCAGATACATCATTTTGATATGTGACTTGATAAAATTTCATAAAAGTATATTTGTACATGTATACTTAATTTGGCACACAGGACAGAACCTAAAAAATGTCTGGCAGTCAACGTCTTAATCACAATTTGAACATTTTTTTCCTACAACCAATAGAAAAAAATGTTTAAATTGTGATTAGATTATTATCTTTTTTAAATAAGTGTTTTTAATACATTATAACAAATAAGAAGTAGTTAATTCAATTTTGTACATATAATTATAAGGTATTTTGTAATAGAATTAGTGTAATTTTATTTTTTATATCAATATTAAAATCATTATATTAATTATAACTATCAAGAATCCAAATTTGCACATAATCATTTTTATAGAATATCATAGTTTTATTTATATTTGTATAGTTATCTATTGTGCAATTTAAGTAACCTTTTCTTCAGTACAGTACTGTATTGGTAAATTGTTTTATGGATTTTGTGCTTTTGTCTTTGTTATTAAAATTTGTAAATGTATATTATTCCAGTACAGCTGTTTTATGTTAATAGACAATAAAGAATTATTGAGATTGAGATTATTTGTGATTTAAACTTAGACCTGATATTCACAATACATGAAAATCAGATAAAGAGTCTATTTTTAAAGGAGTTAAGAAAGTTTGAACTTTTACTGCGATGTTGATATGTGTATCTGTAACTGGTATAAATTTTATAAAATAGTATTAAGTGTCCACAGGGTCATCCGGTCAGTCAAAGTAGGCAGTATTTTTAGGGTCCGGCGTCTTGCAACCATGTTCGGGACCCCATCATACCTTCATTATCACTCTAATTACCTTGCAAAATTACACGTATGTAGTAGTATGAGTGTATTCATCACATGTTTAATTTTAGCTTCCTTACTTAACAGACTGATAAGATACAGCCCTCCAAAAAAAGCGAATCTATTTTCACACAATGCTTCAGGGGATTATTGGGGGCATATAACATCTTAAAAATAATATGCTACCCAATTTTGAATGATATTTTCTGAAAGAGGGACAAAATATCAGTCTATGTAGCAATTTACAACTTATTTATCTTGGTTATTCCAGAAGATACAGCTTCTTAAAAACCATGTTAAGTTATAGGTGCCATTACCGGAATAAATAAGAAAACATAAAAAAATAATTAAGAAAACAGATATTGATATTTTACAGGATTGATCCCTGAATTGTTTTGAATTACAATTTTAATTTAAGCAGCAAAGAAAAAGTCTTCTTATACGTGATTCACACAAAATAGAATATTACTTTGGAGGTATGCTTGTGGTAAATGTTACTCAGACTTAGATAAATTTACCTTAATACTGTACCATTTAGGCCAATTTAGGCAGTAAAGATACATGCAAAGTGAATGTAAGCTGTGCCCTGTGAATATGTGCACAGATTTTGCTAAATATTTTGCGAAGTGTCTACAGGCTTGCAATGTATGTTTTCTAAACATTGATATTAAACACTACGCATGTATATCTCATACAGATTTGGATTCACATAGATGCAATTTAGTGGACACATGAGACGAGTGTGTTTTTTCTAGTGTAAATTGAATATTAATCAACTTCCATGCCTAACTTCTATTTCACCCGATCTTTCAATGCTTTTTTAGAGGGAAATGTTTATTTCTATGTTAGTAAATAGAAAGAGAAACTTTTTAGGTAGAGGCAAGAACCCATTCCTGATTATTGGGAAACTCAATTCTAAAAAAAGTGTTTTGTTTTTTTTAAGGTAATAATGTTTAATACCACTTAGGTTGTGATAAGATAAGCAGTGAAGGTTTAAGCAGTGTTCACACCTAATTGCATTTAAAAGCATTTCATTTACTGTAGATGTAAGAACTTATTTCTGATTAACGTGTAGCTCAATGCTGATTTCTAGATTAGTAATAGTAAATGAAGGAAATCTTACTCAAGTGTGGCTTAGCAAAAATGCATGGGTACATTGTCCCCATGCAGACATAGATACAAGCTTCACCAGAAACCCCTTTTTCAAAGATTTATTTTTAATTTCAATTTAATTTATTGCTTAATACTGAATTGATGATACATTCTACAATGATTTTCCATATGATGGAGATGCTTTCATATTCCTTGTAATTTTTGATACTTGTATGTATCAAAATATACACTGGAAAGTGTGCATTTTGTCAAATGCAATGCCTATATGCAAATCAGATTGCAGTACCAGTATTTTTTTTTTTTTGTATGTCTGTATGTCCTGAATTCTTGATAGCTTAGAATTTTAGAATTTATCCAAAGTTCAGAGTTTAGCTACTTTTATGGTCCTCTGGAAAGAAGCAGATAATTTTGCCATATAGGTGTTTGGGAATGCTGATTTCAAAATTGTGGGAATCACAACTTTTCTGATGAAGATGCTTTCATATTCCTTGTTACTTTTGATGTTGTATGCATAAAAAAATAAACTGGAAGGTGTGCAACATCCGTATGCAGATCAGGTTCGGTACCTGTATATATATTTTTTTTTCCAAGTATGCCATGAATTGTTTATAGATAAGTAAAATTTTAGAATTCATCACAAGTTCCGAGTTCCGTTAGTTCAATTTTCAGTAGTGGGGAATGAATGTGATATTCTGGAAAGAAGCAGAAAGTTTTGCCATTCAGGGGTTTATGAATGCTGCTTTTAAAAATTGTGGGTGCCAAAAATTAAAACTCAAATTGGTCACTAGAACATTTTTTTGTCAATAACATGCACTATATGCACTAGTTACCATAGTCTTGGTTACAGTATCTTTGTAGTTCAGGGTATCTAGTGATAAACATGTATATCAAATATGACATACTGATTGCTTTATGGTGAAAAATTAAATTCATATACACATTAATTTTGGAATTGAATTAATTTTATTGTCATGAAAATTGTTTTCCTTGTTCCAATTAAGAAAAGCAAATTGTTACGGTCAAAAGTTATTGCTACCAATATTCTTGCCACAGATTCCAGTTTAGGTGTTCAGATTTAAATGTTTGGTTGTGATACTATTCAGGGGCGGATTTAGGGGGGGGGGTGGCCCCGGCTCCCCTTTTGGGAGGTAAAAAAAAAGAGAGTAAAAGAAAAAATGATAGCCCAGAATGCCTCAAATATTATGTTCGGGCGTCTAGAACACAAAAATTTTGTGGGGGCATGCCCCGGACCCCCTACGACAGTGTTGTCTCAATCGGCCCAACTTTCGGCCCCCCCTTTTGGACATTTCTGGATCCGCCCCTGCTATTTGACACCAATGACATTTTATTGGATTACTGGACATTTCTTTTCTAGACTGGAACTTTCTTGCATACTGTACATTCTTGTATTTACTACTAC